TAATTTATTATTTCTCTATATGTACACGTATTATTATTTTCTCAAATATTGTCGTATATTGACTGTTAACGGATCTTCAAAGTTTATTATTTTTTAATATTTGATTGTACATCAGTTTTGAGCCTTTACACTTCATATATGATCAATTAATACTAACTTTATATACCATAGGTTTATTTCGTTTTGGACGGCAAATTCTATTTTACGAATATTATTTCTAAAAACTGATGGGTGAAAAATCATGGACGACTCATCCACGGAATGTCGCGTCGTCACAAAATGAAGAGCATTGACTCAGCATCAAGGGACATGGTAGTGTCTCGCGCCAAGTGATTGCATTTACATTGTCCACTACCACCGGTTGAGATTCCATGAATATTTCGTACGGTAATTTTTTACGTTTCCCCCGCTAGTTCAGCTACAATCACGTGATCTTAGACTTTCCCTCTCCGCCATCATGCTACCAATTTAGAATAACCTGAAGCTCCGACATTCTTCTACCATTCGCGAGTTCAACCTTGGATGATTCGCCTCATTGTCGTATCATTGTTCTTGTGAACCCCATCGAAAACATCGAAAGCACCGTCATGGAAGTTGCCAAAGGTAATTTCAACAGACTGGAGTTTGCATTTATCTCAAAGTGTCTTATTGAGCTGCGCTTAATTAGTTCTTGTATATTTCACATTACTACGTTCTTCCAATTTAAAATATCTTTCTCACTTCGTATGGCAAATTGCAAATAGTTTAACTTTTGTAGAATTAAAATTAACTATCGAATCAGATAGATTTTCTATTTAACTGCATTTTATATGGAAAAAAATATATTCACAACTAATATATACATATATACAGGTTCTCTCCATATTTTCTCCAATCCTTGTTTTCGACATATTTTACCGTTTTCACACTTTCTCCACCCTGTATTGTATATATATATATATATATACACACACGCGCACACAAGCTATCCCGTAACTCTTAATTAATATTTCTGGGAGTGAAATGAAAGAGGATGAAATTTTGAACTAAAAGATCCTTTCTCAATTTTGGCTCAGACTAATATTTACCGAGTTATTAACGATTAAAGTTGATCAATCAAATTGTGCCCGGCCGGAATACGCAGGAGCCCAGCGTGTCATGGGACTCCTTGCGCTTATTGTACGTTCTCCCACTTAAAATTGTATTATAATTTTTGATATTAATGAATAAATGAATGAATAAATCAATAAATGGGTAGACGACTAAATAAATAAACAAATAAATAAGTAAGAATGAATTATAGTTAGGAACTTATCCAATTTTTTATTGCTTTTAATTCTTATTTATTATTGATTTATTTGTTTAAAATTAATATTCGAAAAGAATAAAGAATAAAAATAATATATTCTGCAAATTGTGAATAATTACCACCGTTGGTTTCCCGATTGTAAAAAAGAGACTTTAGGCGGAATCTACAGCCGTTGCTCAAGTTTTGATGGTTTTAAGTTAGTGCTTAAAATACTATAAATTAGTCAAAGAGTCATATTAGTATCTTAAGTTATTAATAATGTGAAAATTTAAAAATTATCGGGCAAATAAGAGTAGTTCCGCAGTAGTTATTGTAAATTCGTGTATTTTCTAATTGCTTACATGAAATTTCGAACGTTTCAGTTCAATTCGAGCCATCTTCAGCGATGTACAACCATTTATTATGTGTTTCCTTTATTTCCATTTCTGTGTGTAAACTGCAGTCTTAAATTCACAGGTTTAAGATTGTTGAGCCTGTGTAATACATTATAATTTGATTTTAAGTTATTACTTGAAATTAATTTATAATCTTGAAATTAAGAACGGATTATAAATCCCAATAGTTATAAGATCAGTTTCGAATAAGACTATAAATATGATAATAATAATGTAAAAGGTAAATCCAAAATAACCTAAGAATTTTAAAGTTCATTCGCGAACAGTACGCGATACCACCGCCAATATAAACTATCGATCTTGATTTTAGTTAAGTAGAAATCTCACTTTTCAAATTTTAACGCAATTACTGAAAAGAACACTATAAATCGTAGGTCGAAACGTTTAATTGTATCAAATTTTAATAAATTTTAATTCGCAACAATAACCTGCATCAGCTCTTAGAGGCTTTATTATTCATTATTGATTTATTATCATTAGAGGCTATACAATTTTTGAAATTGTTAATATAATATCAACTAAATTATTAACTTTAATTGAAATTAATTAAACGTGTTAATTGAAAAATCTGCTAAATATAATGTGTGATACACAAAATTCGATTAGCCATCAAAATGTATGTCGTTCAAAAATCTGTGACAATCTACGATAATAATACTACATATATTCTTTCAGTAAACGACTCAAACAGCAGTCTCGTTGAACAATCGACGAACATAACGTCAGCGACGAAATCCGTCTCGTCAATGAAATCTGTACAGAGCGTCCAGACAAAGTCAGTCGTAGAGTCATCGACCTCGGTTAAATCCGTCACTTCTTCGTCCACCAGGTCTCAACAATCGATGGACTACGAGGAAACAATTGAGTATAACGATTAGTACGACCAAATAAAAAAAAGCGTAAAACATATATTAAAATAACGTAAATCCCTCTAATAAAAAAAAAGACATCGATAAATGAGGAGAAACTAAGAATGTATTGAAATTCAATTCTTGACTTGATTCGTCGTATATTTAAAGATTTATTTACGAACAAGAAGAGAACATGTCATTATGGATGTTGTTTGCTTTGATTCTATTTCTCCTGCGAGAAGGAATATTCACATACCAAAAACGGTAGATCTTTTATAACAGCTTCAAAAGAGGATTAACGATGAAATTTCATGCAATGTGATATTCAATTTGACCTCGGGGATCAAGGTCGATATTCGCATAAGGATGGGAAAGTCGAACTGATGGGTCAAGGCATCTCTACGTATCCACTCAGAAGAGTTATGTACCGAAATAACCGTCTGCCGCACATACTGCAGTCGTGCTTTGCGATGGTACGACGAAGAGAAATACCTATGACGAGTTAAAAGAGATGGTGGGAGCGGAAGAAATTGAAAACGTATGCGCGAACAAACGTTCGCAAACCTCTGGCTCTTATATAATCGATGTCATTTATCATCAAATAGTGTAAATCTGCGTTTATCCTTTTCTTTTAAAAATTTTGCCTAGCTGACCTATGTGACTGTCCACCTTTCTAATATACAGATCGCTCAATCATAATTGCATCTCCGCACCTCAGGCTCATTTTATATTTCTACAATAAAATTATAAAGTACTGTGTTATTGCGTTTGTACGTTAACTTTTTTTCATTTTAATTATACAATTTAAAATTAACTCTCCAATCATTTATTACGTACGTATGTGCGTAAACTAAAAATGACAAGAATTACTCATCTTCCGATTACATCGAGAAGTAAAATGTACTGGACTTAAGAAGTACTGGATTTTAATCAGAGTAGGTTACGACAAGACGAAATATAAAATATTAAAATCTAGCACGTATGTTATTATTATATCTGCTGCATTATCTATTTGTCTGAGAAAAAATGTATAATAAAATAAATGCTATGTATAAAGCATCGAGAATTGTTAAGTTGTGCCTTATTATTTACATCAGTTGATCAACCTGTCTCATATGCTAGGTTTCTAGGTTTTTGTTTTTCTTCTTCGGGCAATCAGCTATAAATATTAGTCCACAATCTTATTTTAAGAGTCACGACATATCGGACGGAAAATTTATGCTTTTGGTAAAGAACAGAAATGCATACATAATTTTGTTGACGAGTGAGTATTTTATAAATATTAAGTGCAGTTAGATATATGTTATACATGAATAGAAAAAGGGAAACACAACTCTATTATAGAAAAGAAATATTTTATTTTATTCAACTACGATCGTTACAGCATATTGATGTATAACGCATTATTTTTTTTCTTATATGCGGGCACATAAAACATCTAATCATTCGTTTTAATTATAAATGATATTCAAAGTCAGTAAAGATCGAATTTAAAATATAACTTTAGAGTAACCATAACATGATCAACGGAAACGTTTTTATTTTTGATATGTCCTCGATTATATACATAAGTGATACAGTTAGAACGTGTACATCGCTGAAGCTCAAACAGCACATAGCGCTTACAAAGTATTCAAAAAAGCACTAAAAGAGTGTATATAAGCGCTTTTTTTAGCACTTTGCAGACGCTGCTGTGCTACTTGAGCAGAAATTGAGAAAATCTTTAATCGTAAACAATTTCACTTGATTTTACTAAACGGCATCTTACTTATTAAATGCATTATTATTATTATTATTATTATTATTAAATAAAAGTATATAAAAGTTGCGCCCGACTTATCTGGAGTATATCGACCATCAATTATATTACAATATATTGACTATATTAATATTAATTTCACTTTATAGCTTTGTTCGACTGGTTATGCAGCTGAAACGCGATTATGATGTTAAGTTAAAGTTTTAACAGCGAATGACGGACATTATCTTACTTTTCATTATATAAAATGATGAAAGAGTAATCGTTCATCATTTTTATTTCTCGTTTAATTTATTTAACGAAGTAAATTTGCTCGCAACTTTATTGACAGATTACGTTCGCATTATTTCTTTTGTACGAATTGTACTTTTGATGAATCTAACTATTTCGATACCGTTTTAAGGCGATGCTGGAGTGACGGCCAAACTTGTTCAATGTCGATAGTATAGTGATATTTTTAATTTATTTCTTATATTATCGTTCTGTCTCACTCAAACGCATACATCTGTCCTTATCTAACATGTTGCAACGTCATTTCTTGCAAAATCGAACACCTACTGCTAGACACATTTACTGCTTTGTTTAGCAATAAAGCATACATATACAGGTAATTTGCAGATCAAATATAAATCTCTTTTTTAAGCTTTTAATCTTAGTTTCATAAATTCAGTATATTGACTCAAGTAAACGAGTGATGCATTGTTTTGTCCATACGAGCTGTATAACTTTTGTATTAGAGAACAAGTGACAGTTCTACGAGTTGGAAAATAAGTAAGTTTTTAATCTTTTTCGATATTAATATAAAGTCCATTGCACCACCCCCCAATTTTGCGTCTATTTTAATCCTGCAAAAGAATTTTTGATTCCGTTCAATAAATTCGGAGATTTTTACCGATCTGCAATGTATCGACAATTTGATCACCCCAGCATCCTCTTAAGTTAACGTATTACTACCGCGCGCATAATTATAATATTGGCATCCTTTTGGCAGCTTGTTTAAATCCATCGTAGGAACCTGCAATGCCGATGGTTGACAAAAACGCATTTTCTTTTACGTATACCGTTTATCGACAAACGCATTTTTAGTAAATACGGCAGAGTTATCTTTAGCTGGTAAAAAATTCATTCTTTTCTCTCCCTTTAGGCGCGATCAGTGATGAATATCCTCCGACCCAACTCGAAAGTCGCATCGAGTTCCGGCTACAATGGGGTGTCCTCTTCTGGGAGTTACCTTGGTGTCGGAGGTGGGGGTGGTGGTCATACAGCACTTCCAGTGTAAAAGCTCGCCTTGCCAGTTAGCCCGGATGCTCGCTTCCTCTTTTCGCATTCCATTGTGCTAAAGGTGTTCTGAGCGATTTGCGACTTCCGTTTTGGATTTTGCAAGGTCATGCTACGTTGACTGGAATTGGAACTGGAGCTGGTACCAGGTTCTGATACTTTAAGAATGCCCGAGTGTATTGTTCCAAAGTTTTGATATATATACTGTGATTGAATAGCCGATACCGAGGCATTTTGATTCTTTAGCGTGATTGGGACAGTCTGTCCAGCCAGACTGTTGAATCTAGTGTCGAAACCGAACGGGGTATCCAGTAAGGATTCATTCTTATCGACGTAGCCACTTAATCTAGAATCGAGAAGACCCTCTTTATCGACGAAGCCGCTCAATCTGGAATCTACGATATTCTGGTCGGTGTTTCTCGTGGAGAATTCGGTGTACCGCTGTTCCTGATCAGGTTCCTTGTTATCCGTAAAAGCGATCATATTTTGTCTGGAATCGGACAGAATTCGAGAATCAATGAAGCCTTCTTTATCGGTGAAGCCGCTTAGTCGAGAATCTATGACGTTGCCTTCCGACTTATCGAAATTGTTGTACCGTGGGTCGATGTTCTTGCCGTCCGGGTAGACTGGCAGGACGTGCGATAGGTCTGCCTTATCGACATAACTGATGGCCTGTGGATTCGACGCGCAAATATCAGGCGCCGATTTGCAGAGCAATGAAGTTCCTTCTTCGGCTATTTTTTGAGGCGCTAGGACACAGAAATGGATTTATCTCTCTTCCAAAACATGAGAAATCATCGTTTACTTTACAGGGTGTTCCGCAGCATTTAGAAGATTAAAAAAAATTTTTTATGGATCATTGAAATTTTTTCGGATCTCTGGATCCTAGAATTCTATCCGATCATACAATTTGTACGAATAATGGATCTTTCATTCTTTTCAATTATGTAAATATGCGGTGTGTCGCATCATATTGTACATACGCGGAACACCCTCTTTAGCGATAAGTTCACCCACTTTTGGTTGGCTGGCCGAAGGGTCGGGCCTGTGGCGGTCCCGGTGATTTCTGATGTGCCCTCACAAGATACTCTGAGCTAAATCCTCTCTGTTCCCTCAGCTTTCTTTCGGCACCCGGGACCATGACTCTCACCTAAAAGGAAAACAAAGAGCATGAATATCCTTCGATTAAACGAAACATGATTGCGAAACACATGTTGATAAAGCTAGAAATCCACTTGTGCGACCACGGACAGATGTTTCAGGTTTTACTGGGATCTAATGGGTCCAAGTGAATCCCTAGCTTAAACCAAACGAGCCGAGAGCGAGAGTTTTAATCGACAACTTCACCATCTCTTCGACCGTGGAGAACCGTGCCATGTAACCGGACATTGTTAAAACGGCCGCCACTTCCGCGAGCATCAGTGCTAATCCCGAGAGTTGTAGGCACCAGCCGTAGTGGTACTGAGGTAGACCGTTATCGTCCATTTGCATGCCGGCAGTTGACGGCAAACTGTATTTCCCCGGTAACTCCAGTGATGCGTCCGACAATGCTGATGCCAGAACTATCAACCCGCCGCCTAAGGAAAGTCCTGGAACAATATAAATATGAATTCCATAGACATCGTAATGACTTTGAAAATATAATGTGTTATTACAAAGTTGAATATTTCTTTTTCTTAACAATCATTGTTTCAGTTTTTGAACATGATATACATAGCGCTAAAGTTTAATTTTTTTTTCTTTACAATAATAATTGGCAATAATTTATTCACTGGTTTTTTTTTCAGTTAAATTTAAAGATATTCTTTTCGGTGATTTTTTTTTTAAATTTTAATTAGTGACATATCAAAATATCTACTAATTAAAATCTCGACAAAATAATAAATTATAATATTCTCGACGCTTAAAAAGGCCAAAATAGATTACATATTTTTTATTGCAAGTAGAATTCATAGCTAAAATGATTTGTTATTTGCGCATAAAAGTAACAAAGTATTTATCAAACTATTGGAAATTTCAGAAATGTAGAATTTTCTTTAATAAACGTTTATCAGCTATTATGGATTACTAAATACATTTTATATTATTTATGTAAAGTTTTCAGTTACGAATAATTCTACTCTGCACACAGCGAGGAGCTCAAAGTGCAACTACCGGGAACAGGATAAAATTGCCAAACTATTATAATAGTAAGACGTGACCGTAGGACATATTCAAGGATTCAGAGCGTCGCCCGTACGCGCTATATCACGACAATAGTCCTCCATGCGCGTCTCGAATATCCGTAGTTAAGAACGCAATAACACGGAACAGCTTACCCTATTATAATATAATATCGTTGGGATTGAATTGATCGTTTAAACGATCGTCGTCTATATCGGTGCCCTTTTATGCAAACTTTTCATACGTTTTATGAATGGAAAGAGCGCAATTGGATCGAAGCTGAATTAGCGCTAAGTCGTGATCTAGACGGAATTATAGGATCTGGTCAGAGTCTAATCAGTGTACTGTCATGTATACTGTCATGTACATGCTATATTAATTGACTGGTGTATCAATTACAGCACTGCTCGGAAAAGTGAGGAGAATCCAATAATGCTGTCAGTATTGATCATTACTACGAAGATACTCCCAACTGTTATTGGGTATGTCTGTGTTGGTGACACATTAGATTGCTGATGACACATTAGACGATCAAGGGGCCTAACATTACAGCATTTGACAATTGCTAGATATATCCTTGATAATTACAGAAATCATTCGCTTTAATTAGCGAATATATATTTGCTATCAAGAGTCTGTCATAACTTCAAAACGTATATTCAAAGTTTGTTTTTATTTTAAGACCATCTTAGAGTAATGTTTTAAGGTGCAATACAGCTATATTAACTTTGTGTTTACTGGATTAAGATTTAACTTAAGACAACTTTAAATATAAGAACCGACCGATGAATACCGGCATATACGTTTGTAAGAAAAATTTTAAGATAGAGAAGATGACTGTCGATTATAAGTAACTTCTTTTTTAGAACGTGGCGATCGAAGCTGGATATTGCTCGGTTCAATAAGCTATAAAGATTTCATTCCGGTTGCCGTCGTCATGGGAATCTCCCGCATTTGTCGAGAAAACGACGTCGCTCATATTGCAAAGCGCCACGGTTTACGGAAGATACGGACGATTGAGTCATAATAAAAACGGGATTGGCGGCCCACGAGAGACAGCATATGAAGGGAAAGAAATTGTCCCTTCAGTCTTTTCGCTCGCCTCTGCAATGCTGTCTTCTCGAATACTGCATTCTCCTCAACAAAGGACTTATCGATGATAAAATAATAATTTCGCTCAAGAATCAATTTATTTACGACGAGAAAGTTAATAGCTTCTTTATGTTTTCCATTAATCGAGATATCTTAAGTTTATGGTTAAGATTACGGAATTTCTGTATAGCATATAACAAAATTTATACATCATATAACAGATGCAGCAATATAAATGGATGTTACAAGTTACGAAGTTATTCTATTCTACATTATTCTAAAATCTTCATATTATTCTAAAATAAATTCTTCAATTCATTTACTCTTGTCGAGATAAATGCATTGTTTTAAATGTGATCCGCTGCTAAGAACTGAATTTAATATGACAATGTCTCATTGCAAGTCACGTAAATAAAAGTTCGTAATTTCCACGTACATTTCTTAGATTTAATCGCGAAAGATGCGCTCGTGCAATGATGGATTGTATAAGTTTATCTTTGCGCGCGAATAAAGGATTAATTTTATTGTTGCACAGCTCGTAATTCTCAGTGTACCTGTGTACGTTCTTACAGTCGAATAATATCTGACTACGAGCGAATGCCACGTACACACTGGCGGAAACTTCCAGCTCTGTCCTTGTTTCCACGTTCGTCGACTAAATTGCAATTACTGCTAATTAATTGAGCAAAGATTTGCCTAGCTGCCAGCGGACAAAGCAAGGCGCGACTACATCAACGAAGAAATTCTAGATCAGCACGTCGCAATTGTAATTCCAGTAAGTTATACAAATAAAATGGAAGCCCTGATAATTCCCAGCGATCGAAAGAATCGAGGAGAGAGAGAGAGAGAGAGAGAGAGAGAGAGAGAGAGAGAGATTTCATTATATATATATATATATATTATTTTACAAAATTAGTTTTGATCCTATATAGTATAACCATTTCGACATTGCATTTCTCTAATATTTCAACAGCAAGCATTTTTCATTCCTTTTTATGAATTTATTCAAAGAAATATTTATTTAAATTAATTTATTTAATTTACTATAAATTCGGATTTCGATACACTTTTGCTACAAAATAATTAATTAATTTAAATAAATACTTCTTTAAATAAAATTAATATGTGCTGTTCAAATAAATGTCATATTTAATATGTAACAATAATCTATTCATCAAAGTTAATTTAAAATGCAGAAACAGAATAGAATGCAAATTTATTTTACGAAGCATTAAATATTTTAAGGCACGCATGTATAAAGTATATACAGTATAAATTCATGGTAGTTGTTTCTTTTTTTTCTTTGCATTGTTGCGTGCACTGCTATCATTTGCGTGACGACTATTCGAACTGAGTTTCGAACTCAGTTGTTGCGTTATTGTTCCTCGAAACGTGATCACTGATGATTATAATTAGCGTCTATCAACCTGCACGATTAGTTGAGTCGGCAATTAACGATTCATAAGCGTATTCAAGGCGACGGCAATTTACCGAAATAGATATTTTGCGTGATATTCGTCTAGTTTAAGTAAGAATAGATGAATAATGGGAACTAAACATTAATTGCAATTTATTACTATTTTTACGTACAACAATAACTATTTCTTGAAAAATTTTTTAAATACATCTAGCTTTACATTTTTTAAATCTTCCGTCGGTTTGAATGTAATTTGCTCACCGTTATTTTTAAATTAAGTGCAGAGTGATACGAATCGCTATGAATAATTCAAATAATGAAATATATTTATTGTAATATATCTATTGTTTATTAAAAATATTTCATGTTTTTAACGTCGTAGTACAAAGTATCGCATGATTAGTGGTGTATTTTAGTGGTTATTACGAACATGATTGTAAATTATAATCTTGGCAGGTGAGCTTTATGGAAAAGCAAAAGACTTTTTTAAAGAGAAAGAAGAGGAGAAAAGAAAGTTCAGGTGATATTGAACAAAGCAGCCATGAGGTAAGTAATTCATTATTTATATACAAAGTGTTTTATTCAGACTACCTGTACTACTCTTTTTTTTTTCAAAAACAAATAGTAATTGGAAGTTGGGGAAAAATTTTTCATTACTAAAGCCTATCTAAATTATAAACGATGGCGTTTCAGTTTTCTGAAAACTACAGGAAATAAGATAAACGTAGTCAGGTCAAAATATTAAATACAAACATCGTAAATCGAGTGAGGTACTTACCTCGTGGATATTTTTTAAAATAAATAACTTTTCGATACAATTTTTTCTTATATTATTTCCAATTTAAAAAAAAATAAGGAAATGTCACAGATTATGAATCATTAATTTTGCTAGACATCAAAAGTTGTTGGCGGCTTAAATTAAAAATTTTTTATATATAATAAATGATTTATTAGGACTGTAATTGAAACATGGTCGAGTAAGATAGATATCATTAGATAAGTCTATTGAGAAAACATCTTTAAATAAAAATCTTTAAAAAAAAGTTAATACCTGTTATCAATAAGAAAAAATAATATTTCTTATTAGTTCATTTCCTGAAACAAAAGAAAAATAGAGGAAAATTTTTTATCTTTTTAAATTTCTTTCTTATTGTTATAGAGATGTTCAAAATACCTATATATAGCTGAAACACGCAATGAATACCTTTAAGAAGAAAATTTGAATAGATTTTCCTGCATTTCCCTCTGGGAATCTGGGTGATCTGAAACACTCTGTATTATTTGCCTTTTGCACAATTCATCTATTTCCACTTACTTGAACAATGTATTTGCGATAAAAATAAGAAAAAGAAAGGTTATTTATGATGCTTACAAAAACTCGGTAAAAGAACTTTTCCGCAAACTGTGTAATTATTTTAGTGAACATTGATACACTCCATAAATAGAATAGACGAATATGAAGCTCAATGCGCGCAATATTTCTTTAACTATTTATTATTTTTAACGTTATAAATTTTATATTTGTATTTTGCAGACTGACGCTGTTATAATGGAGTTACAACTACGGCATTGTATCGCATTGGTAAATGCCATATTATACCTTTTATTTTAATCCGAGATAATGGATCTGTGAATATATACATTCACAGTTAAATACAACATCTCATGATCTCACGGATGCATTATACATATGTCATATGTATGTACATACATACATATATACTAAAATAGATAGGTTAGGACAGATTAATGCAAATGTTTAAATCAGCCTAGGATATAGCGTAACCGTCCGTTGATCTATTGTGCATACAAGAATACACATATTCAAAGCTGATAGAATATATAGGTAATTGTTATTAACGCATTATTGATCGGTTAGCCATTTACTAGCGCTTTTGGTGTCATAACAAGCAACAA